TGACGGCAGCCCGGTCGCCTACTTAACGGTGAGGACATGGGAGACGAGAAGCAATCTGATTCTGAAACGTGCGGATTATTATATCGGATTTGATAATGCCAGTCTGAGCGCTGTCTGTCTGGTCGCATTAACGGTGATGTCTGTTGGTCGCACTTAAAGGTGATGACTGCACCTGGGATTGTCTTCTAAAACACTGGCAATAATTCTTAAACCTGTCCAAAAAACAAGATTTTTATAATTCCTGAAATACATTGGTGTCGTGGTGCTTGTGAAGTTGTTTCTTACCTGTCCCCTGATTTTATGTAAATGAGCGGTCTGTCACCGTGGAAACATCCTCGACAGTAACAGTGGCCTATTTAAAACTCCTGCGTTTGTCTCTTGTACACATAACACTGCATTTAATTTAAACAGGACAATACAGTCTTTTATAGTAGGATTTATGGCCTGATGGACTATTTTGTTTCATGTGTAGAATTGTATTGTTGTATTGAGGAGTCGGAGGTACATGCACTTACTATGGATTTGTTCATATTTTCTTTAGATAAAAGTCAAGTCAATGTTATTTTTGTATAGCCCTAAATCACGGCAGCAGTCGTCTCAAAGGACTTTACAAAAGTTCTTGATTTGCTAACAAACAGATGAAATGCAATAATAAAACATGATCTGCACTGTACCTGAGCTGACGGAATGCCGCCCTTATCTCTTGATATAATGTGTAATCTTTGGATTATCGTGTAGCAGCAAAATAGAAAAATTAAAAAGGATGGCCCGTAGTTTATTTGCAATTAAATTTACTCATACAATTTGCATATTATGACTTAATATGGTCGGCACCGGTGCTGAGTGGATCAGCACTTTCGCCTCTCAGCAAGGAAGTCCTGGGTTAGAATACCGGTCAGAACAAGGTATTTCTGGGCAGGCAGTTAGCTCAGGGGGTGGTAAAGGGGGAAGCTTTGGCCTTGGCCAGAGGTCGTGGGTTCAAGCCCCAGCTCAAGACTTTCACCATCGACTCCACTGTCTGCTGTCGTTGTGTACTTGGCAAGACACATTAACCTCTGGGAACATCAGCCACAGTGGGGCTGCTGCGGCTGTAAAGTGCCAAACTGCCGTTGTGTCCTTAGGCAAGCAAACTTCAAGTTAAATAGTACAGCATATTGTCAAACTTAACTCAACCGTGGCGGCCTAGAGGTTAAATATCAAGAACAAAATACACAACTCTTTGCCTCGGATCGATATAAGTTTTTTTTACACACAAACAATGTGAACCATGCTCTCTAGCCCTCTCTCCCCCAAAACCATTAGATTTCGATCTGTTTTACCAGTGAAACTTCATCAAGAGGACTCTCACACCACCGCAGCGACTGCCTCTAGACGTAAATCTAACGCAGCATGAGTTGCGGCAGAGAAGGCCCACGGCGGTGTATGATTTCTACACATTTTCACCCTCATTAAATCAGTGGGGCAGCTGGTGTCCTCTGGGTGGGGCTATGGTCATCGAGATGGTCAGCTTTTGTCATCTCTGCTTATCACATTTTCGCCCTCTTATCGATTCTTCTGACCCTTAGTGACGGGGGACGAAACAGCCTTTTTAAAGGAAGTTGTTCTGTTATACATGTTGCAAAGGGCTGCTTGGATTAGTGTCGGTATTTATATTGAGCTCAATTTGGCCAGTTGAGGACTAAATATTGTGATTTTGTTCTGTTTTGTGGTCTCATCCTCTTATATAATTAATAACCCTCAAACCCGTTAACTGTTATATGTACCTGACCCTCTGTAACACAGGAAATTTCAACCAATAGATAAACTAATCATTAGGTCCTAGTCCCTATATCAGAATATCACCTCTCTGTCATCACACATCAGCTTCACTCGCTGTTGTTATTTGCAAATGTATTAACAGACCTTATGAGGGTTTGATTTATTTAGAAAACAGTTTTTAAAACCATTTTATATTTAGAGAGAAATATACTGTACATATAGGACAGAGTTATATACTGTACATATAGACAGGAATTATATACTGTACATATAGGACAGAGTTATATACTGTACATATAGGACAGAGTTATATACTGTACATATAGGACAGGAGTTATATACTGTACATATAGGACAGAGTTATATACTGTACATATAGGACAGAGTTATATACTGTACATATAGGACAGGAGTTATATACTGTACATATAGGACAGAGTTATATACTGTACATATAGGACAGGAGTTATATACTGTACATATAGACAGGAATTATATACTGTACATATAGGACAGGAGTTATATACTGTACATATAGGACAGAGTTATATACTGTACATATAGACAGGAGTTATATACTGTACATATAGGACAGGAGTTATATACTGTACATATAGGACAGGAGTTATATACTGTACATATAGGACAGGAGTTATATACTGTACATATAGACAGGAGTTATATACTGTACATATAGGACAGGAGTTATATACTGTACATAAAGACAGGAGTTATATACTGTACATATAGGACAGGAGTTATATACTGTACATATAGACAGGAGTTATATACTGTACATATAGGACAGGAGTTATATACTGTACATATAGGACAGGAGTTATATACTGTACATATAGGACAGGAGTTATATACTGTACATATAGGACAGGAATTATATACTGTACATATAGGACAGGAGTTATATACTGTACATATAGGACAGAGTTATATACTGTACATATAGACAGGAGTTATATACTGTACATATAGGACAGGAGTTATATACTGTACATATAGGACAGGAATTATATACTGTACATATAGGACAGGAGTTATATACTGTACATATAGGACAGAGTTATATACTGTATATATAGACAGGAGTTATATACTGTACATATAGGACAGGAGTTATATACTGTACATATAGGACAGGAGTTATATACTGTACATATAGGACAGGAGTTATATACTGTACATATAGGACAGAGTTATATACTGTACATATAGACAGGAGTTATATACTGTACATATAGACAGGAGTAGGGCTGGGCGATATGGCTGAAAACTATATCACGATATAAGTCATTCATATCGGTCGATAACAATATATAATGAGTTTTTTTTTTTTTTTACCTAAATAAATACATTTGTGGTGTGGGCTAACCAACCTTAGCAGCCTTGTTTACAGTCACGGGGCGATGAGGCTGGAGAAATATGTTCACACTGTGTCCCTCGTTGTTAGTCCTGGTTTAATCCTGGTTTTTTATTCCTGGTTTAGTTCCTGGTTTAGCTGTTTGAGGGTCTTGTGTCCCCGTGACCGCTCCGTGCGGCTCTCTGTGCCGCACATGCTTCCCGAGGAAAAAGTTAATCTCTTGCTTTCGCCGAATACATGGTGTCTGTCCACTGCCTCTGCCGCCGCACATGTTATTCCGCGCACGTACGTGCATAACCATTGACACGGCATTGAAACACGAGCTATAGATCCATGGACGCCACGCATGCTGCGGTTGTTGTTGTTTTTGCATTTCCCATAAAGTTTTGCGGTTCCTGCTCGGCTGTTATTGGTCGAGAAGCCTCTGCCTACATCCCCCACAATGCCGCACGCTTATGAGTCGGCTTTACTTCCGGTGTTTTCTTCCTGTTTTTCCTGACGGAGTTAAGTTAAACTATCGAACATTCTATCGACCCCATTCTCTATTGATATCGAACACATGTCTATCGCGATATATATCGTTATCGTTTTATCGCCCAGCCCTAGACAGGAGTTATAAAAGAAATCAGAAGAAGGTCCAGGGCTCACAGGGACCTTCTTGCTGTGAGTTGTGGTGCTCTGCAGACTGAGGACAACACATGGGTTGGTCCCAGGTTCAGTTTTTTCCCAAACAGTGATTTTAGAGGAAACGACAAGTCCTCGTCGTGTGTGTGTCTGTGTGTGTGTGTCTCTGTGTCTGTGTGTGTCTGTGTGTGTCTGTGTGTGTCTGTGTGTGTCTGTGTTGGCTCTGAGGAAGGACAGTTTGTGATATTTCATTTTCTATTGTTTTGGTGCAGTTGTATTTATTTTTGTATTACTTTTGATTAACCCTGCACCGAGCACACGTACTGTAGACCTGTGTGTGTGTGTGTCTGTCTGTGTGTGTGTGTGTGTGTGTGTGTCCTTCTGCCTGGGTCTGTGCATGTGTGTGTGTGTCTGTGTGTCTATCTGTCAGTGTGTGCATTTGTGTTGGCTCCTTTCCTCACAACAGCCCTACACACACTTAACTCTTTCTGTTGTGTGTGTGTGTTTGTGTGTGTGTGTGTGTGTGTTTGTGTACTCTTGTGGTTGTCTCGTCTTTTCCAAAACACACCGTTGGGAATCGATGACTTCCTCGGCCCGGCCTCGATGACGTGGTTAAGCTCCGGCTGTGAAAGGATCGATCTGTTTGAGCCGACAAAGTGTCAATACTTAAGTTGTGTAGTCACCGTGAGGCTTCAGTCGGTTCAGGACTCATGCTCAAAAGTTGGAAAAATTATACAAAAAAACCACAAAAAAGCCAACTTGTTCTAGTTAGTTCCAAAATAGTTCTATCCAAATGTTTGTAACGTGTGTGGCACAAACACAATCTCTGAAGGTGTGTGTGTGTGTGTGTGTGTGTGTGTGTGCAGGTGTGTGTGCATGTGTGTGTACGTGCGTGTGTGTGTGTGCGCGTGTGTGTGTGTGTGTGTATATAATAATAATAATAATAATGCTTTTATAGCGCTTTTTGGACGCTTGTTTCTCTCTCTCCAAACACTGTGGTGATGAACTACTGTAGCCACAGCTGCCCCGGGGCACACTGACAGAAGCCCCTCCCACCACCACCCACTCTACGGTGTGTATTTATTTTTTCGGTGTCACAAAAATGCACAAACTAATGTTTGAGTAAATGTGAAGAATATTCATAAATGTACTTTGGTCTGAACGGACAGGTGCCTCGGACACATCTACGCCTCATCGGCTTTTCTCAAGACAAAACATGATCTATCTCCTGTGGGCAGACCAATTAAAAACCAATCAGGCCGCACCGAGTGCGGTGGTAATGGGAACGCCACGGTAATGGGAACGCCACGAACGCCACGGCCTGCAGGAAGTGGGCCTGATTAATGGACACTTTCACCTTGTGGCATAACAGCCTCCCACCAGCATCCATCACCTCAGGGGGCCGGGCACACCCCACAACACACACACACAACCACAACACACACAGACAACCACAACACACACAGACAACCACAACACACACAGACACACAACCACAACAAACACACAACCACAACACACACCCAGACACACAACCACAACACACACCCAGACACACAACCACACACCCACAGACACACACATAGGCCTGTCACAATTACAAATTTTGCTGGACGATTAATTGTCTCAGAATGTATTGCGATTGTGTTGTCGTTCTGAGATCATTTTCATCTCATACAATGATAATGATGCAGTCACCTTTTCAAAGAGATACACTTTTATTTTTAAAGACCACTGGAAGTAAAAAGCCGCTAGCGGAGTTAGCATGATGCTAAGCGGCTTTTTGTGTAAAGTTCTTGCCAATAATGCAGCTCTGCAGCGTCTCTTTGTCCAGAGGCCTTCACAGACTTTATATAACAGTAGTATATGTTCACGGAGGTGACTTTATATAACAGCAGTATGTGTTCACGGAGGTGACTTTATATAACAGTAGTATATGTTCACGGAGGTGACTTTATATAACAGCAGTATGTGTTCACCGTGACTTTATATAACAGCAGTATGTGTTCACCGTGACTTTATATAACAGCAGTATGTGTTCACCGTGACTTTATATAACAGCAGTATGTGTTCACGGAGGTGACTTTATATACCAGCAGTATGTGTTCACGGAGGTGACTTTATATACCAGCAGTATGTGTTCACGGAGGTGACTTTATATAACAGCAGTATGTGTTCACGGAGGTGACTTTATATAACAGCAGTATGTGTTCACGGAGGTGACTTTATATAACAACAGTATGTGTTCATGGAGGTGACTTTATATAACAACAGTATGTGTTCATGGAGGTGACTTTATATAACAGCAGTATGTGTTCACAGAGGTGACTTTATATAACAGTAGTATGTGTTCACGGAGGTGACTTTTTATAACAGCAGTATGTGTTCACGGAGGTGACTTTATATAACAGCAGTATGTGTTCACGGAGGTGACTTTATATAACAGCAGTATGTGTTCACGGAGGTGACTTTATATAACAACAGTATGTGTTCACGGAGGTGACTTTATATAACAGCAGTATGTGTTCACGGAGGTGACTTTATATAACAGCAGTATGTGTTCACGGAGGTGACTTTATATAACAGCAGTATGTGTTCATGGAGGTGACTTTATATAACAACAGTATGTGTTCATGGAGGTGACTTTATATAACAGCAGTATGTGTTCACGGTGACTTTATATAACAGCAGTATGTGTTCACGGAGGTGACTTTATATAACAACAGTATGTGTTCACGGAGGTGACTTTATATAACAACAGTATGTGTTCATGGAGGTGACTTTATATAACAACAGTATGTGTTCATGGAGGTGACTTTATATAACAACAGTATGTGTTCATGGAGGTGACTTTATATAACAGCAGTATGTGTTCACAGAGGTGACTTTATATAACAGTAGTATGTGTTCACGGAGGTGACTTTATATAACAGCAGTATGTGTTCACGGAGGTGACTTTATATAACAGCAGTATGTGTTCACGGAGGTGACTTTATATAACAGCAGTATGTGTTCACGGAGGTGACTTTATATAACAGCAGTATGTGTTCACGGAGGAGACTTTATATAACAGTAGTATGTGTTCACGGAGGAAACTTTATATAACAGCAGTATGTGTTCACGGAGGTGACTTTATATAACAGTAGTATGTGTTCACGGAGGTGACTTTTTATAACAGCAGTATGTGTTCACGGAGGTGACTTTATATAACAGCAGTATGTGTTCACGGAGGTGACTTTATATAACAGCAGTATGTGTTCACGGAGGTGACTTTATATAACAGCAGTATGTGTTCACGGAGATGACTTTATATAACAGCAGTATGTGTTCACGGAGGAGACTTTATATAACAGCAGTATGTGTTCACGGAGGAGACTTTATATAACAGCAGTATGTGTTCACGGAGGAGACTTTATATAACAGCAGTATGTGTTCACGGAGGTGACTTTATATAACAGCAGTATGTGTTCACGGAGGTGACTTTATATATCAGCAGTATGTGTTCACGGAGGTGACTTTATATAACAGCAGTATGTGTTCACGGAGGAGACTTTATATAACAGCAGTATGTGTTCACGGAGGAGACTTTATATAACAGCAGTATGTGTTCACGGAGGTGACTTTATATAACAGCAGTATGTGTTCACGGAGGTGCGTCATAAGTTTATTTTATTATTAAACGGTACTTCTGCATCGGCGAACACGCTAACGCTAACTGCGCAAGTTCAGTCACTACTAGAGCCTGAATGAGAACAACTACTGTGTCCCCCGTTATCAATCCTGGTTAAGTCCTGGTTAAGTCCTGGTTAAGTCCTGGTTAAGTCCTGGTTAAATCCTGGTTTAGTCCTGGTTTAGTCCTGGTTTAGTCCTGGTTTAGTCCCGGTTTAGTCCTGGTTTAGTCCTGTTTTGGCTGTATTTTGTATTTTTGAGTTATTTTAGTCTGCTCGCGTGACCACTTTGCGGCTCTCTGACCCGAGAGAGAGAGAGAGACAGGAAAACCAACTAGCATACCAACGGAATTCATCGAGCTGATTTTAATTATCATGCGATTAATTGATTTATTGAATATCGCGACAGGCCTAGACACACACCCACCCAGTCTAGTTCCAGTCACTGCCCCAATGGTCTGTAGCAGAACCAGAGCTGAGCAGGACCCACTCAGACGAGGCTAAAGTCAGACCCGTTTCTCGGATCTTCTCTGATGCTGGACGTGCAACAGAGCGAAAGAACGACATGATGATAATGGGACGTTCCAAATCCTGACGTTAGCTCCACATCTGCCCTTCACCACATCCTCATTGTTTACTGTTTTATTAGTCTTATTAGTTTTATTAGTCCATTTCTGGGTGGAGGGGGTGGGACAATCAGAGCTGGACTAACACTCACAGCAGCAGTCCCTCTGATCCTCAGCAGGAGATGTGTTCTGATCCATCTGCGGGGACTCAGCCTTGGTCTATCAGTGGGGGCTTCGGCAACGTGGGGTTAAGTGTCTTGCCCAAAGACACAGCAACAGCAGACCTGAGTGGGAGCAGTTGGAGTACCACATTCGCACCATTAGATGCACCTGATTATAAGACTCACCTGAAAAATGCGGTACTCCAACTGGATCAGAACCCACCTCCCTGTGGATCCATCTCCTGCTGAGGATCAGAGGGACTGCTGCTGTGAGTGTTAGTCCAGCTCTGATTGTCTGCAGAGCATTGGGGCAGTGACCGGAACTAGACTGGGTGGGTGTGTGTGTCTATAGGTGGGTGGGTGTGTTGTGGATGTTTGTCTGTGGGTGTGTGTCTGTGGGTGTGTGTGTGTCTGTGGGTGTGTGTCTGTGGGTGTGTGTGTGTCTGAGGGTGTGTGTCTGTGTCTCTCGTTAAAGCTACAAACATCTCTCACTAACAGATATTTGTAGCGTTATCTGGGAACCATCGGTGCACAAATGCCACCGAACACTTTCTGTTTCACCCGGACTATTTAAATGGACGCACTTGCACTTCTTCATTCACAACAACGCGTCCGGCTTCAGGGTCAGGGTCAGGGTTAGAGTCAGGGTCAGAGTCAGGGTCAGAGTTAGAGTTAGAGTTAGGGTCAGGGTTAGAGTCAGGGTTAGAGTTAGAGTTAGGGTCAGGGTTAGAGTCAGAGTTAGAGTTAGAGTTAGGGTCAGGGTTAGGGTTACACTTTCACATTTTTGCTAAAACACAGTCAGAAATGGATACATAGAGACAGATTAGATTAGCCTTAAATTAACAGAGACATAGTTATCTCTGTATTTTATCCTGTAAATGTACATATTCCTTTAATCTCTGTATTATATATTATTATAATTATAGTTATATATATTCCCATACTCACAGATGTGTATATTCCTGAACACACACATCCAGATCATTCTATTCTCACAATATTATCTTACTAATACTTTGCGAGCTACTGCGACAACACAATTTCTCTGTGGATCCATAAATCTAAGTCTAATGGTGCAAAAAATACAGATGATCTTGTGGGGGATTGAACCCATAACCTTCAGGCCAGTGTCACAGGTTTGTGCAGACTGCAGCCGAGTGGAGGAAGGACTAAAGAGCAGCAGAGACGGAGTGTGTGTCTTTCCCTCAGGTCCCATTGTGCGTCTGTGCAGATTCAAAGCAGTGTAATCTGTGTGAGGTTGTGTTGTGACCTACTTCACACAGACTCACATCTCGCTGTAAATAAGGGTTTTCTCCTTCGCCCCGTTTGGCCTTTTCCCATTTCAGGCTCCACTCTAAGAACATTCTACAGAGCAGCGGTGGCGAAGGAGAGGCAGCTGTGATATCATTAATACATCAGGTTGTGTGGTTGTGTGGTTGTGTTGTTGTGTTGCCATTACAATTACACTCAGAATTCAAAGTAATGGCTCGGGTTAAGTGTGTGGCTACGATTTTGTTTAGTTCTTTCTTAAAAATAAGCATTATGATGATCTCTCTCAGAGACCAGAGAGAGAGAGACCAGAGAGAGACCAGAGAGAGACAGGAGAGAGACCAGAGAGAGACCAGAGAGAGAGAGACCAGAGAGAGACCAGAGAGAGACCAGAGAGAGAGACCAGAGAGAGACCAGAGAGAGGCCAGAGAGAGACCAGAGAGAGACCAGAGAGAGACCAGAGAGAGAGAGACCAGAGAGAGACCAGAGAGAGACCAGAGAGAGAGACCAGAGAGAGACCAGAGAGAGGCCAGAGAGAGACCAGAGAGAGACCAGAGAGAGACCAGAGAGAGAGAGACCAGAGAGAGACCAGAGAGAGAGACCAGAGAGAGAGACCAGAGAGAGAGACCAGAGAGAGAGACCAGAGAGAGAGACCAGAGAGAGAGACCAGAGAGAGAGACCAGAGAGAGAGACCAGAGAGAGACCAGAGAGAGACCAGAGAGAGACCAGAGAGAGACCAGAGAGAGACCAGAGAGAGACCAGAGAGAGAGACCAGAGAGAGAGCAGAGAGAGAGACCAGAGAGAGAGCAGAGAGAGAGACCAGAGAGAGAGACCAGAGAGAGACCAGAGAGAGAGACCAGAGAGAGACCAGAGAGAGACCAGAGAGAGACCAGAGAGAGACCAGAGAGAGACCAGAGAGAGACCAGAGAGAGACCAGAGAGAGAGACCAGAGAGAGACCAGAGAGAGACCAGAGAGAGACCAGAGAGAGACCAGAGAGAGACCAGAGAGAGACCAGAGAGAGAGACCAGAGAGAGAGACCAGAGAGAGACCAGAGAGAGAGACCAGAGAGAGACCAGAGAGAGACCAGAGAGAGACCAGAGAGAGAGACCAGAGAGAGACCAGAGAGAGACCAGAGAGAGACCAGAGAGAGAGACCAGAGAGAGACCAGAGAGAGAGACCAGAGAGAGAGACCAGAGAGAGAGACCAGAGAGAGACCAGAGAGAGACCAGAGAGAGACCAGAGAGAGAGACCAGAGAGAGAGACCAGAGAGAGACCAGAGAGAGAGACCAGAGAGAGACCAGAGAGAGACCAGAGAGAGACCAGAGAGAGACCAGAGAGAGACCAGAGAGTGACCAGAGAGAGAGACCAGAGAGAGAGACCAGAGAGAGACCAGAGAGAGACCAGAGAGAGACCAGAGAGAGAGACCAGAGAGAGGCCAGGGAGAGACCAGGGAGAGACCAGAGAGAGAGACCAGAGAGAGAGACCAGAGAGAGAGACCAGAGAGAGAGACCAAAGAGAGAGACCAGAGAGAGAGACCAGAGAGAGAGACCAGAGAGAGACCAGAGAGAGACCAGAGAGAGACCAGAGAGAGAGACCAGAGAGAGAGACCAGAGAGAGACACCAGAGAGAGAGACCAGAGAGAGACCAGAGAGAGAGACCAGAGAGAGACCAGAGAGAGACCAGAGAGAGGCCAGAGAGAGAGACCAGAGAGAGAGACCAGAGAGAGAGACCAGAGAGAGACCAGAGAGAGACCAGAGAGAGGCCAGAGAGAGAGACCAGAGAGAGAGACCAGAGAGAGACCAGAGAGAGACCAGAGAGAGACCAGAGAGAGAGACCAGAGAGAGACCAGGGAGACCAGAGAGAGACTAGAGAGACCAGAGAGCGAGACCAGAGAGAGACCAGAGAGAGACCAGGGAGACCAGAGAGAGACTAGAGAGACCAGAGAGAGAGACCAGAGAGAGACCAGAGAGAGACCAGGGAGACCAGAGAGAGACTAGAGAGACCAGAGAGAGACCAGAAAGAGTGGTACCAGAGAGAGACCAATGTCCATGAACGTAGAATGTAGAGAGTCCTGGATCATCCCATCACTCTCAGTCCCTCTCGGTCCGTCTCGGTCGATCTTAGTCGTTCTTGGTCGTTTTTGGTAAATATAAAAACATATAAAAACAATAAAACCCTCTCCGGTTTGTGCCGTGAACAGCGCCGGCGTCTGTGGTTCGTTTACGGCGTGCCCAGATTAGATCATGTTAAGATCCAATGTTTGTAGAAATGAGAGAGTAATGATGAGGCTGGTTCAGGAGAGGTAGATATTGGAAAATGATTACCAAACAGGCATTCATTATTCAGCAGGGCAATCAGGGAGGGCACCGGCACCTTATTTATGCTAGCTCTGTAAATCAGATTTGTCAGTTTTGATCACTCTAAAATCTCCCAGTCACACGCCGGCAATATTGGGCGAATATTACGGCGTCTAATGGGTAATGGATGACGGCGTGTGACAGTGGTCGAGACGAATGGACGGGATCAGAGCCGCTCAGAGCGAGAGAGAGAGAGAGACTGTAGAGGCTGGGAATGTCAGACTGTTTCATGGACGTAGCACCTGGAACTGAGCTGAGGACGTAGCTCCTGGAACTGAGCTGAGGACGTAGCACCTGAGACAGAGCTGAGGACGTAGCTCCTGAAACAGAGCTGGGGACGTAGCACCTGGAACAGAGCTGGGGACGTAGCACCTGGAACAGAGCTTAGTACGTAGCACCTGAGACAGAGCTGAGGACGTAGCACCTGGAACTGAGCTGAGGACGTAGCACCTGAAACAGAGCTGGGGACGTAGCACCTGGAACAGAGCTGAGGAAGTAGCACCTGAAACAGAGCTGGGGACGTAGCTCCTGGAACAGAGCTGGGGACGTAGCTCCTGGAACAGAGCTGGGGACGTAGCACCTGGAACAGAGCTGGGGACGTAGCACCTGGAACTGAGCTGGGGACGTAGCACCTGAAACAGAGCTGGGGACGTAGCACCTGGAACAGAGCTGGGGACGTAGCACCTGGAACAGAGCTGAGGACGTAGCTCCTGGACCTGAGCTGTGGACGTAGCACCTGGAGCAGAGATGGGGACGTAGCACCTGGAGCAGAGATGGGGACGTAGCACCTGGAGCAGAGATGGGGACGTAGCACCTGGAACAGAACTGGGGACGTAGCACCTGGAGCAGAGATGGGGACGTAGCACCTGGAGCAGAGATGGGGACGTAGCACCTGAAACTGAGCTGAGGACGTAGCACCTGGAACAGAGCTGGGGACGTAGCACCTGGAACAGAACTGGGGACGTAGCACCTGAAACAGAGCTGGGGACGTAGCACACGGAACTGAGCTGAGGACGTAGCTCCTGGAACTGAGCTGAGGACGTAGCTCCTGGAACTGAGCTGTGGACGTAGCTCCTGGAACTGAGCTGAGGACGTAGCACCTGAGACAGAGCTGAGGACGTAGCACCTGAAAAAGAGCTGGGGACGTAGCACCTGGAACAGTGGAAAACTTGGTTTATTTTTTTATGTAAAGAAGCACAGATTGTGACATTTTTGGCCAATAACGATGTTTAATCCTTTAACCTTCACTGCTTGAAGAAAATAACGTGATTTTGTCTTGTTTGAATTTTCTAAAAAAATCGAGTAAATGAGTAATATTCATTTATATAGCACCTTTCACAGACTACACTCACAAAGCACTGATATTTAAAGGAGCAATATGTAATATTTGCATGTCAAGTCATCATTAAATGACCCGAATATTTCAAAAGGCGTTATTAAATCATACTCTTTTCGAATTCATCTTTAACTGATAACAGTAGTTCAGCCGAGATATTTGATCATCAAAATTAGTTTTACGACCCGTAAAAGTTGTTATTGTTTTGATTTTGATGTCCAACCCTCCGCCGTTTCGCCAATCAGGAAGTCCGTGATCGGGTTGCCAGAACTCCGTGCGGCTCATTAATCTCAGTGGTAAAATAACATGTGGCGTAGAACTAAAAAAGGTCTTGTTATGATTCTCAAATCATTAATGACAAAACAAAGACTAAAACGAGGATTTATATCGGGATGCCTTTGAACAATTGAGACAGCTGATAAAAGTTTACGTGTGATGCAGAATTTTCTAGTTTGAGTCCGTTCTTCACGGTGCTTCAGATCGTGTGAACCGGTGGCCTAGCGGTCTCGCGCTTACGATGCAGGAACCCGGGTTCGATCCCGGGCCATGTCTTTTTGTATTTATTGCATGTTATCACATTCTATGACAGATTGCTCTAAAAACGGTAAAAGATGAAGGTCAAGACGTTTTTTTGCAGATTATAGCTTAATTGTAAAAATAATCATTTAAGACCACATGTACCCCAATTAAAATAATGTTAGTCTCTTTTTGAAGGTGATATCCTCTTGAGCAAACCCTGATGTTGATACGCTGAAGAAATACGTTCCAACATCCATTCTTCCCACTCCTATTTTGGACATCAATTTCTTATTTATTTTGCATAAACTATGTATAATTACATTGCTTTTATTTTGTTTTTGTTTTTTATCTCAAATGTCCAAATTATAATAATAAAAAAACATGAATCAAAACATTCATTCAGCATTAGCACGGCTGTCATGGCAATGTGAATGGAGACGGACAAACAACTGATAAAATAATTCCCTGTGTTTGCTGCTGGATTTGGTGTGAATCTGGCAACCTGAGTCAGGGAGAGTGGAAGAGGACTACAAAATATTGACTGTGACTGCAGTACCACTTTTGGCCAGATTTTTACATATTGCTCCTTTAAAAAAAAAATCTCTCTCTTGAAGTAATTTTCACCTAGACTTTTTAGACAAACGAAACCAAAATCCATATAACAATCATGTGTGTTGTCATACGTGTGTTTGTGTGTCTGAGAGTGTGTGTGTTGTCATGTGTGTGTGTGTGTCCTGACCACGGCCTTCAGCTCATCACACGAGAGCAACACATCTCCTTTAGGACCATGTGTGTGTGGAGCAGCCGCTTCAACACACACGCACACACGCACGCACGCACGCACACACCCACACACACATTGACACACACACACACACACACACACGCACATTGACACACACACACACACCCTGGCACACACACACACACGCACACACACAGACACACACACACACACAGACACACACGCACACACAGACACACACACACACACACAGACACACGCACACACACACACATGCACACACACACACACACAGACACACACGCACACACAGACACACACACCCACACACACATTGACACACACACACACACACACGCACATTGACACACACACACACACCCTGGCACACACACACACACACACGCACACACACAGACACACACACACACAGACACACACGCACACACAGACACACACACACACACACAGACACACGCACACACACACACATGCACACACACACACACACAGACACACACGCACACACAGACACACACACACACACACACAGACACACGCACACACACGCACACACACACACACATGCACACACACACACACAGACACAGATAGACGCACACACACACACACGCATACATATTGACACACAGATTCTGAGTAAATCCATAGTTGTGTTTGCGAACACACACAGCCTTTGTTTGGGAACAATGGTTTGGCTTCAGTTTCACTTTGGCGTCACGCTCTGAGGGCCGTGTTTTACCACATACATGTTTCTTTTGTTTAGTTTTGCACGGATAGTTTTCTGTCTTTTATTTACTTGCATTGTGTGTGTCAAGTTGTGTGTTTGTGTTTAGTCTGAGCGGTACGGTGTGACAGTGTGGTTTTCTTGTGCTGTGTGCTCCTCAGAATCTTAACTCATTGACTGCTGCCGTTCTTGATGATTTCACTGATTTTCAAGACCCACAGAATATTGTGTGCTATGACTATGTGAAATATGAAACCAGATTCTGAAAGACTGGACTGTCTACTTTCATCAGCAAAAATAAGTTAGTTTCTATCTTGTTTTGTTCTTTTATAATCCCAAGTGGAATAGAGGGAAGTTTGACAGAAATCACCAGACTCATAAATACGTCAATGGCAGTCAATGAGTTAATCTTAATCTTAATCTTATACGGCTCCCTCCAGATTAAACTGCACTAATGTGTGACGTTTGGGTCAAAAAGACGAAAAAGTCCTGAAAAGTCCGCTGCCGCTACTGCCGAATATTCAGACTGTTGTTTAGTTCCTTGTTTGTCCAGTGGGGGGCGCTCTGCTTAGACACAGACTCGTTTTAGACGAAACGAGGACAAAGTGTTTTGTCCAAAACGCTCAGTCTCTCTGCAGTTATTGAATCATATTGTTTTACATCATTTATAATCAGCCGTTCATAACACTCAGGGCGACCAGTGTTTTACAATAAAATCATATAAAATCCACTCAAACATTTATGCATTAAACAATAAAACGGCTAAAAAGCATTAAAAAATGAGTGTTAAAATCCAGTCTGAATTAATATGTTTTGAGCGTTGATTTAAGAAGGCCATAATCAGTGAAGACAGGCACATCAGGGGGTCCAGGTCCAGGGTCTGGGTCCAGGTCTACGGTCCGGGTCCAGAGTCCGGGAACAGGGTCTGGGTCCAGGTCTACGGTCCGGGTCCAGAGTCCGGGAACAGGGTCTGGGTCCAGGGTCTGGGTCTAGGTCCAGGGTCTGGGTCCAGGACCGAGAATCTATATTTACAGATTGATTCTAGTTTTATCCCAAACATTAACCATTAAATAATCTCTGTCCTGTTTATTCTTCATTCTCAAAGTCTCCAACACACGTCCTACATCTGTGTCCCCAAAGTTTACTATATAATTATTTATAAACTACAGAGTGTTAAAGAATTATAAAATACACATATTTTTGCTTCATGCATTTATTTTTTTCTTGCTGCTGGAAGTCCGACCGGAGAATTGTACGGTTTAGTTTGGACAGATCCAGGTTCAAGCAGAGAAATGGAACAAAAAGTGGACAATTCTGCTGCACTTTTCTCCTGGTGATTAAAGAAGTGTGTGTGTGTGTGTGTCTGTGTGTGTGTGTGTGTGTGTGTGTGTCTGTGTGTGTCTGTGTGTGTCTGTGTGTGTGTGTGTGTGTGTGTGTGTGTGTCTGTGTGTGTCTGTGTGTGTCTGTGTGTGTGTGTGTGTGTGTGTGTGTCTGTGTGTGTGTCTATGTGTGTGTCTATGTGTGTGTGTGTGTGTGTGTGTTCCTGGACCGTGCACATGTGGAGGTGATTCTCTTCTTTATACTCTACATTTGAAAGGTCTGATAAAAAACATAATTTATGAAGAATCAAAACCATCAAACGAGTATTTGTGTGTCTTTAAGACCAGGATCTGCTTATTAGCTGTTAGCGAAACGGCTAAGAACAATTAAATAAACATAACATTCATAATAATAGTCATTTTTGATTGGACCAGTCTGATGGCCTTCAGGCTTATTGGTCTTTGAGTCTGAAGGTCGTGGGTTCGAGTCCACCACGAGACCTTCTCCACTGACTCCCACTGATGTCTGCTGTTGTTGTGTCCTTGTGCAAGACACGTAACCCCACTTTGCCTGAAGCCCCTGCTGAAAGATAGAGGCCCCTGTGGACTCAGCACCTGCAGGAGGATCAGAGAGGGACTGGTCCTCTGTGGACTGGGTACAGATCTGACTGCCCCCCTCTGACCCAGACAGGGATTTGCAGAGGAGTCCAAACCGGTCCCGAAAGGCCTGATGTAGCTGCAGGTTTTCCATCAGAACCAAGAGGTCTCTCTCTGGTCTCTCTCTGGTCTCTCTCTGGTCTCTCTCTCTGGTCTCTCTCTGGTCTCTCTCTGGTCTCTCTCTGGTCTCTCTCTGGTCTCTCTCTGGTCGCTCTCTGGTCTCTCTGGTCTCTCTGGTCTCTCTCTGGTCTCTCTCTGGTCTCTCTCTGGTCTCTCTGGTCTCTCTGGTCACTCTCCGGTCTATCTCTAGTCTCTCTCTGGTCTCTCTCTCTGGTCTCTCTCTGGTCTCTCTCTGGTCTCTCTCGGGTCTCTCTCTCTGGTCTCTCTCTGGTCTCTCTCTGGTCTCTCTCTGGTCTCTCTCTGGTCTCTCTCTGGTCTCTCTCTCTGGTCTCTCTCTCTCTGGTCTCTCTCTGGTCTCTCTCTGGTCTCTCTCTCTCTGGTCTCTCTCTGGTCTCTCTCTCTGGTCTCTCTCTGGTCTATCTCTAGTCTCTCTCTGGTCTCTCTCTCTGGTCTCTCTCTCTGGTCTCTCTCTGGTCTCTCTCTCTGGTCTCTCTCTGGTCTCTCTCTCTGGTCTCTCTCTCTGGTCTCTCTCTCTGGTCTCTCTCTGGTCTCTCTCTGGTCTCTCTCTGGTCTCTCTCTCTGGTCTCTCTCTCTGGTCTCTCTGGTCTCTCTGGTCACTCTCCGGTCTATCTCTAGTCTCTCTCTGGTCTCTCTCTCTGGTCTCTCTCTGGTCTCTCTCTGGTCTCTCTCTCTGGTCTCTCTCTGGTCTCTCTCTGGTCTCTCTCTGGTCTCTCTCTGGTCTCTCTCTCTGGTATCTCTCTCTGGTCTCTCTGGTCTCTCTGGTCACTCTCCGGTCTATCTCTAGTCTCTCTCTGGTCTCTCTCTCTGGTCTCTCTCTGGTCTCTCTCTGGTCTCTCTCTGGTCTCTCTCTCTGGTCTCTCTCTGGTCTCTCTCTGGTCTCTCTCTGGTCTCTCTCTGGTCTCTCTCTGGTCTCTCTCTGGTCTCTCTCTCTGGTCTCTCTCTCTCTGGTCTCTCTCTGGTCTCTCTCTGGTCTCTCTCTGGTCTCTCTCTGGTCTCTCTCTGGTCTCTCTCTGGTTTCTCTCTCTGGTCTCTCTCTGGTCTATCTCTAGTCTCTCTCTGGTCTCTCTCTCTGGTCTCTCTCTCTGGTCTCTCTCTGGTCTCTCTCTCTGGTCTCTCTCTGGTCTCTCTCTCTGGTCTCTCTCTCTGGTCTCTCTCTGGTCTCTCTCTGGTCTCTCTCTGGTCTCTCTCTGGTCTCTCTGGTCTCTCTGGTCTCTCTCTGGTCTCTCTCTGGTCTCTCTCTGGTCTCTCTGGTCTCTCTGGTCTCTCTCTGGTCTCTCTCTGGTCTCTCTCTCTGGTCTCTCTCTGGTCTATCTCTAGTCTCTCTCTGGTCTCTCTCTCTGGTCTCTCTCTGGTCTCTCTCTGGTCTCTCTCTGGTCTCTCTCTCTGGTCTCTCTCTGGTCTCTCTCTGGTCTCTCTCTCTGGTCTCTCTCTGGTCTCTCTCTGGTCTCTCTCTGGTCTCCCCCTGGTCTCTCTCTGGTCTCTCTCTGGTCTCTCTCTGGTCTCTCTCTGGTCTCTCTCTGGTCTCGCTCTGGTCTCTCTGGTCTCTCTGGTCTCTCTCTGGTCTCTGTGAATGGATTCATATATAGACCTATGTCTTCTACATTGTCATAGTTCCACCCTGTTCTACACACGATACCATGTGGGTTACATTTCCTTCCTGGTGCTTAATGAAGCGCTAAGGAAGATGCATGTTCATTGTCTTTGCTGTACCTTTTCATCAGAGCCATAGATTTTAGCACTTTACAGATGTCTGTGTTTCTACCATTTTAAATAATCTTCAGTGGACAAAACCGTGACTGATGGGATTAGGAAATGAGGCTAATTATTTGAGTTTGTACAATCTTGTGTTAATCAAGTGTTGTGTGTTTTTAAAGGAGCAGTGTGTAAACATGTGGCCAAAAGTGGTACTGCAGCCTCTCCCACTCTCCCTGACTCAGGTTGCCAGATATGCAGACGAATCCAGCTGGGACCATAACAGCTGAATAGACAAGAGTTTTGTCAACAACAAATCTATAACCAACACCTTTTTCACAAAGATAGAAATCCTGCTTTTATTCCTTGTTTTGTCGTTAATGATTTGAGAATCATAACGAGACCTTTTTTAGTTCTGTGCCACATGGTACTTTACCAGTGAGATTAGCTCCACGTGGTGAGTTCTGGCGCCCGGATCACAGACTTTCTGATTGGTTAAACGGTGGAGGGCGGGACATCGAAATGAAAACAATAACAAGATTTAGAGGCTGGAAAAGTAATTTAGAAATTCAAATATCTCTGAACTACTGTTATCAGTTAAAGAAGGATTGGAAAAGAGCAGTTTATTATTATGACAGATTAGGGCCCTTTAATGATGACAGATTAGGGCCCTTTAATGGAGACAGATTAGGGCCCTTTAATGATGACAGATTAGGGCCCTTTAATGATGACAGATTAGGGCCCTTTAATGATCCAGATAAGGGCCCTTTGATGATGACAGATAAGGGCCTTTTGATGATGACAGATTAGGGCCCTTTAATGATGACAGATTAGAGCCCTTTAATGATCCAGATTAGGGCCCTTTAACGACACAGATTAGGGCCCTTTAATGATGACAGATTAGGGCCCTTTAATAATACATATTAGGGCCCTTTAATGACACAGATTAGGACCCTTTAATGACACAGATTAGGGCCCTTTAATGACACAGATTAGGGCCCTTTAATGATGACAGATTAGGGCCCATTAATGATCCAGATTAGGGCCCTTTAATGATGACAGATTAGGGCACTTTAATGGAGACAGATTAGGGCCCTTTAATGATGACAGATTAGGGCACTTTAATGGAGACAGATTAGGGCCCTTTAATGATGACAGATTAGGGCCCTTTAATGATGACAGATTAGGGCCCTTTAATGATGACAGATTAGGGCCCTTTAATGATGACTGTGTTCCTAATGGTCGTTCCTGTATAAACTGCTCCGTTCAGACTTTCCGCTGCATAAATACTTAAATATTTGAGTCCTTTCGTCCTGAAAGGCCCTGCTGCTCGTGACCTCATTCTGCTGCTGCCGTCTCTGATCTGAGCCGCTCCAGAATAAACCTCAGCTTCAGCTTCAGCGACTCGTTTCAATCGCACACAACACCAGAAACACATGCTTTACTCTCGCTCAGAACCACATCAGGACCTTTTAATATCCTCCTTTTTACCTGTCTGCACCAAACAGCCTGCGGAGGAATGATAATGATAATAGTAATGATAATAATGATAATAATGATAATATTGGTAACACTGGGTAACACATTTTTTGTTGTTGAAAATAGTCCAGGGTTTTCAGCTGAATCAGACTAATGTTGATGCTCTGAGTCTGACCTTGGTTTTGTTCAATCAGGTCAAGATTTTTACAGAAATATTTTTTTGAATCGATTTTGCGTAAAAAACAAATTTCTGCGGATCATCAGCTGAGAAACCCCTGACCATTTTTTGGCTGTCAACTTACAGTTTAGGACACATACACACACTCACAGTTCAGGACACACACACACACACACACTCACAGTTCAGGACATACACACACACACAGTTCAGGACACACACACACATACACACACTCACAGTTCAGGACATACACACACTCACAGTTCAGGACACACACACACACACACACACACACACACACACACACACACACACACACACACACTCACAGTTCAGGACATACACACACACAGTTCAGGACACACACACACATACACACACTCACAGTTCAGGACATACACACACACACAGTTCAGGACACACATACACACACTCACAGTTCAGGACACACACACACACACACACACACACACAGTTCAGGACACACACACACATACACACACTCACACACACACACACAGTTCAGGACACACACACACAGTTCAGGACACACACACACACAGTTCAGGACACACACACACAGTTCAGGACACACACGCACACACACACTCACAGTTCAGGACATACACACACAGACACACACACTCACAGTTCAGCACACACACACACACACACAGACACACACACAGTAGGGCTGTAGATCAGACATGTCCAAACTCAGGCCCGGGGGCTAACTGCGGCCCTCTGAAATTTAAAATAGTCCACGTTCTTTGAAATAACAGCCATTTCCAGCTGCGTACTTTCCACAAGTGCAGCTCTGAGTTCTACTGGATCAGAACCGAGACAGCGATACCAGCAACAGCTTCGGCACCTTTGCGCACAGAGAACTGCTGTTTTAATCTTCCCATTCTGCTGTGCTGCGGGTTAAAGCTTTTTAGCAGCAAACGAGGGCTTGTCCACATGGTCAGAGCAGCGAGTGACGTCCACATGGTCAGAGCAGAGAGTGACGTCCACATGGTCAGAGCAGCGAGTGACGTCCACATGGTCAGAGCAGCGAGTGACGTCCACATGGTCAGAGCAGAGTGACGTCCACATGGTCAGAGCAGAGAGTGACGTCCACATGGTCAGAGCAGCGAGTGACGTCCACATGGTCAGAGCAGCGAGTGACGTCCACATGGTCAGAGCAGAGTGACGTCCACATGGTCAGAGCAGAGAGTGACGTCCACATGGTCAGAGCAGAGAGTGACGTCCACATGGTCAGAGCAGAGAGTGACGTCCACATGGTCAGAGCAGCGAGTGACGTCCACATGGTCAGAGCAGCGAGTGACGTCCACATGGTCAGAGCAGAGAGTGACGTCCACATGGTCAGAGCAGAGAGTGACGTCCACATGGTCAGAGCAGCGAGTGACGTCCACATGGTCAGAGCAGAGAGTGACGTCCACATGATCAGAGCAGAGAGTGACGTCCACATGGTCAGAGCAGTGAGTGACGTCCACATGGTCAGAGCAGAGAGTGACGTCCACATGGTCAGAGCAGAGAGTGACGTCCACATGGTCAGAGCAGTGAGTGACGTCCACATGGTCAGAGCAGCGAGTGACGTCCACATGGTCAGAGCAGCGAGTGACGTCCACATGGTCAGAGCAGCGAGTGACGTCCACATGATCAGAGCAGCGAGAGACGTCCACATGGTCAGAGCAGCGAGTGACGTCCACATGGTCAGAGCAGAGAGTGACGTCCACATGGTCAGAGCGGCGAGTGACGTCCACATGGTCAGAGCAGAGAGTGACGTCCACATGGTCAGAGCAGCGAGTGACGTCCACATGGTCAGAGCAGAGAGTGACGTCCACATGGTCAGAGCGGCGAGTGACGTCCACATGGTCAGAGCGGCGAGTGACGTCCACATGGTCAGAGCGGCGAGTGACGTCCACATGGTCAGAGCAGCGAGTGACGTCCACATGGTCAGAGCAGAGAGTGACGTCCACATGGTCAGAGCGGCGAGTGACGTCCACATGGTCAGAGCGGCGAGTGACGTCCACATGGTCAGCATTGAGGACCAGCAGCACAAACATGGTCAATGTGGTTTGACTGGAGCCGTGTATTTGGGCACCGTAACACAGAGGAGCGCGACAGCTATGTGTGTGTGTACAATACATGTATGTGTGTGTGTACAATACATGTATGTGTGTGTGTACAATACATGTATGTGTGTGTGTACAATACATGTATGTGTGTGTGTACAATACATGTATGTGTGTGTGTACAATACGTGTATGTGTGTGTACAATACGTGTATGTGTGTGTGTGTACAATACATGTATGTGTGTGTGTACAATACGTGTATGTGTGTGTGTACAATACGTGTATGTGTGTGTGTACAATACATGTATGTGTGTGTACAATACGTGTATGTGTGTGTGTGTACAATACATGTATGTGTGTGTGTACAATACATGTATGTGTGTGTGTACAATACATGTATGTGTGTGTACAATACGTGTATATGTGTGTGTGTACAATACGTGTATGTGTGTGTGTGTACAATACGTGTATGTGTGTGTGTGTACAATACGTGTATGTGTGTGTGTGTACAATACATGTATGTGTGTGTGTGGGTAAATATAAGCTCCAATGTAGTTCTGACCCGCACCAGTGTGCGACTAGCAGGCGGTAACAGAGGGGAGAGATGATGCGTGTGGATGTTACGTATTAATGGAGGGGGGGAAAGTGTGTGTCTGTGCGTGCATGTGTGCGTGCATGTGTGCGTGCATGTGTGCGTGCATGTGTGCGTGCATGTGTGGAGTGTGCGGCGTGAGAGTCGGCCCAGAGTTTCATGATACATTGGCGCACACAGTTAGAGACGGACCCGCTCGTCACACCGTGTGAATAGGGCTTAAATGAGCGTAATGAAGAGACCTCCCCTCTCCCCTTTTTCTCTTTTTTAACCGACAGCTTTGACCGGTTAACGCTGTGGCGGTTAACGCTGTGGCGGTTAACGCTGTGGCGGTTAACGCTGTGGCGGTTAACGCTGTGGCGGTTATTTAACGCTGTGGCGGTTAACGCTGTGGCGGTTAACGCTGTGGCGGTTAACGCTGTGGCGGTTAACGCTGTGACGGTTAACGCTGTGACGGTTAACGCTGTGACGGTTAACGCTGTGGCGGTTAACGCTGTGGCGGTTAACGCTGTGACGGTTAACGCTGTGGCGGTTAACGCTGTGACGGTTAACGCTGTGGCGGTTAACGCTGTGGCGGTTAACGCTGTGGCGGTTAACGCTGTGGCGGTTAACGCTGTGGCGGTTAACGCTGTGACGGTTAACGCTGTGGCGGTTAACGCTGTGGCGGTTAACGCTGTGGCGGTCAACCACCGGTTAAGCGGTCACCGATTAGAACCAACTTCATTCTGCATTTAAAGCCAAAAAAGGCAATATTTTTAACATGTTTCACACTTCTGTCTTTTGCACAATCTGAGAGATTCTGTGATGTCGTACATCTCTCCATCAGAGATCAGTAAACTGTATCTTATCTTAACAGCAGCTGCGAAAGTGCAAACTGAATCTAGAGCTTTGTGTGGTTTTGTTTGGACAAAGGAGAAGAATCCTCCTCCGTTAGCGCTCGAAGCTAACGGTGCTAGTTAGCTTAGCCGCCGCCATTGTGGTTATTGTTTGTTCTACTGCACATATCCAAATGTACGTGCGGGAGGTGGGATCATTGCGGCAGAGAATTAAAACCTTTTTCTTCTTGGGGGTGTGAAAGACCCCCCGCTGAACACAGTCTCCATGGAAACGGGAGGTAGCAACCGACACCAACAGCGTTTTACTGCCACAGCGTCTCCGTCTAAACTGGGACTAAAACACAATACACTCTGCTTCAGACACTAGCAGCACGGACCACACAGAGCTGCTCGTTTTACAGTCTGACACTGCTCTGGTCATGTGTCGTGCAGTCTAATGGCCCCCCCAGGAATACTGCATGACATATGAACAGAGCTGCTTGTTGTACAGTCTGACACTGCTCTGTTCAGATGGGATCCTCCGCACACAGACATCCTCCTGTAACTGTGTTTCCTGTGTCCCCCTAACAGGCCCAGTGTGTGTGTGTGTGTGTGTGTGTCTGTGTGTCTTTGTGTGTGTGTGTGTGTTTGTTTGTGTGTGTGTATATGTGTGTGTGTGTGTGTGTGTGTATGTGTGTCTGTGTGTGTGTGTGCGTGACTGGGGGCCACACCTGTCAGCACGACTCCGTAGGCTGTGCTCTGATGCTATCTGACATCGGGCCGCCCTGACACTGCCACAGCATGAGTGTGTGAGTGCGTGAGTGTGTGTGTGTGTGTGTCTGTGTGTGTGTCTGTGTGTGTGCCATTGGATGAGTCACTGCCTCCGCTGCTGTGCTCCCAGGAGCCTGTGGGGCCGGTGGCTGTAGTCTGCTCAGGCCCCTTTAGTCTCTCACTCACAGTAAACAAATATGGTAAACTTTATATTTGTGCTTTTGTTAGAAGTGTTGCACCCTTCCTTTGATAATGTGTTGTAGTGATAGTCACAAGACGGACTTTATGATTTTAAAATAGATAGATACATAAGAGATACTGTATATATATATTGATATATACATAGATAGATATATACATAGAAAGGTGTCTGTGTGTATTTGTGGTGTGTGTATAACAGTCTTACAGATGTGTGTTTGTAAATGATCTCAGAGTAAAGCAGTAGTTCTGTTCCGTGTTGGTGTAGAGAGGCCGTAGCTGCAGAACAGTGCAGCAGCTGTATCCTCCAGTGCCTCTCTGCAGCTGTATCCTCCAGTGCCTCTCTGCAGCTGTATCCTCCAGTGCCTCTCTGCAGCTGTATCCTCCAGTGCCTCTCTGCAGCTGTATCCTCCAGCACCTCTCTGCAGCTGTATCCTCCAGTGCCTCTCTGCAGCTGTATCCTCCAGCGCCTCTCTGCAGCTGTATCCTCCAGTGCCTCTCTGCAGCTGTATCCTCCAGCACCTCTCTGCAGCTGTATCCTCCAGTGCCTCTCTGCAGCTGTATCCTCCAGTGCCTCTCTGCAGCTGTATCCTCCAGTGCCTCTCTGCAGCTGTATCCTCCAGTGCCTCTCTGCAGCTGTATCCTCCAGTGCCTCTCTGCAGCTGTATCCTCCAGCACCTCTCTGCAGCTGTATCCTCCAGTGCCTCTCTGCAGCTGTATCCTCCAGCGCCTCTCTGCAGCTGTATCCTCCAGTGCCTCTCTGCAGCTGTATCCTCCAGCACCTCTCTGCAGCTGTATCCTCCAGTGCCTCTCTGCAGCTGTATCCTCCAGCACCTCTCTGCAGCTGTATCCTCCAGTGCCTCTCTGCAGCTGTATCCTCCAGCGCCTCTCTGCAGCTGTATCCTCCAGTGCCTCTCTGCAGCTGTATCCTCCAGCACCTCTCTGCAGCTGTATCCTCCAGTGCCTCTCTGCAGCTGTATCCTCCAGTGCCTCTCTGCAGCTGTATCCTCCAGTGCCTCTCTGCAGCTGTATCCTCCAGCGCCTCTCTGCAGCTGTATCCTCCAGTGCCTCTCTGCAGCTGTATCCTCCAGTGCCTCTCTGCAGCTGTATCCTCCAGTGCCTCTCTGCAGCTGTATCCTCTAGTGCCTCTCTGCAGCTGTATCCTCCAGTGCCTCTCTGCAGCTGTATCATCCAGTGCCTCTCTGCAGCTGTATCCTCCAGCGCCTCTCTGCAGCTGTATCCTCCAGTGCCTCTCTGCAGCTGTATCCTCCAGTGCCTCTCTGCAGCTGTATCCTCCAGCGCCTCTCTGCAGCTGTATCCTCCAGCGCCTCTCTGCAGCTGTATCCTCCAGTGCCTCTCTGCAGCTGTATCCTCCAGCGCCTCTCTGCAGCTGTATCCTCCAGCGCCTCTCTGCAGCTGTATCCTCCAGTGCCTCTCTGCAGCTGTATCCTCCAGCGCCTCTCTGCAGCTGTATCCTCCAGTGCCTCTCTGCAGCTGTATCCTCCAGTGCCTCTCTGCAGCTGTATCCTCCAGCGCCTCTCTGCAGCTGTATCCTCCAGTGCCTCTCTGCAGCTGTATCCTCCAGCGCCTCTCTGCAGCTGTATCCTCCAGCGCCTCTCTGCAGCTGTATCCTCCAGCGCCTCTCTGCAGCTGTATCCTCCAGTGCCTCTCTGCAGCTGTATCCTCCAGCGCCTCTCTGCAGCTGTATCCTCCAGCGCCTCTCTGCAGCTGTATCCTCCAGTGCCTCTCTGCAGCTGTATCCTCCAGCGCCTCTCTGCAGCTGTATCCTCCAGTGCCTCTCTGCAGCTGTATCCTCCAGTGCCTCTCTGCAGCTGTATCCTCCAGCGCCTCTCTGCAGCTGTATCCTCCAGTGCCTCTCTGCAGCTGTATCCTCCAGCGCCTCTCTGCAGCTGTATCCTCCAGTGCCTCTCTGCAGCTGTATCCTCCAGTGCCTCTCTGCAGCTGTATCCTCCAGTGCCTCTCTGCAGCTGTATCCTCCAGTGCCTCTCTGCAGCTGTATCCTCCAGTGCCTCTCTGCAGCTGTATCCTCTAGTGCCTCTCTGCAGCTGTATCCTCCAGTGCCTCTCTGCAGCTGTATCATCCAGTGCCTCTCTGCAGCTGTATCCTCCAGCGCCTCTCTGCAGCTGTATCCTCCAGTGCCTCTCTGCAGCTGTATCCTCCAGTGCCTCTCTGCAGCTGTATCCTCCAGCGCCTCTCTGCAGCTGTATCCTCCAGCGCCTCTCTGCAGCTGTATCCTCCAGTGCCTCTCTGCAGCTGTATCCTCCAGCGCCTCTCTGCAGCTGTATCCTCCAGCGCCTCTCTGCAGCTGTATCCTCCAGTGCCTCTCTGCAGCTGTATCCTCCAGCGCCTCTCTGCAGCTGTATCCTCCAGTGCCTCTCTGCAGCTGTATCCTCCAGTGCCTCTCTGCAGCTGTATCCTCCAGCGCCTCTCTGCAGCTGTATCCTCCAGTGCCTCTCTGCAGCTGTATCCTCCAGCGCCTCTCTGCAGCTGTATCCTCCAGCGCCTCTCTGCAGCTGTATCCTCCAGCGCCTCTCTGCAGCTGTATCCTCCAGTGCCTCTCTGCAGCTGTATCCTCCAGCGCCTCTCTGCAGCTGTATCCTCCAGCGCCTCTCTGCAGCTGTATCCTCCAGTGCCTCTCTGCAGCTGTATCCTCCAGCGCCTCTCTGCAGCACATGCATTTGGCTGAAACATTCAGCCCAGCTCCCAGCGTTACCTTGCATGTGTAATTACCGGATATGCTGCCTGCCGCTGATAACTCTCCCAAACAATGTTTGAAGGGAGAAGGCGGCCATGAATTCCCAATGAAGTGTGAAAAAGGCTGATTAAAATTGCCGCGGTCAAAAGCCAGGCACCAGTGTGTTCTCATGAAGCAGAGTCTGCTGTGCCGCTTTTTATTCTCATCGAGCTAAGGGGAGATTTTTGGGGGTTTGTTTCTATTCTTTGAAAAAGTCACAATATTTGCTGTTTATTGTATTTATCATTTGGGCAAATAAACATTTTAGAAAATAAAAAAGTACACAAATCAAAATCGTTTCAAAATCTTCATAATCAAAAATGAAGAGACAGTAATCATGCGCTGAAGAGCAGGACGTGTGTTTCTCTGAAACTCACTGTTTTGCAGAAAGAAGCCACAGAAAAGACTGGGTGTGGGTTTGATTCTCGTCAGTCACTCTTTACATTGTTTATCTTCAGAGAACATAACATTTTACTAAAGAAAATCTAAAATAAAAATGAACCTTCAGGATCCCCAACACAAACATTATCCCATAGTTTACTACACACACACGGCCTACACCAGTGCCTCGGTCTCTATTCCCCTCATGTTCTCTGTTTCTCTCTGGATTGTGCGGTCGGTGTATTGTGTTGCGTGAGCGTGTGCGAGGCTCTGACTAAATGTGTGCATTGTGAGCTCTGGTGTGTGTCTGTGGAAGCCGTGGAGGAGTAGAAGTGTCTCGTTGGAGGAGAGTGGGCGTCAAACTCCGAGCCCTAATTACAGACCTGGCTCCCGGTGCGTCCCGTGCCTCCCACAGCCCTGTGTCTGGGTGCGTGTGTTGGGGACAGACACATGATCCTCTCCCCGTCTCTGGGGCTCTGCTAAAGCCAAGTACAGCAGTGGTGCCCAACCTTTTTGAGTCCCTTTGTCCCTGCAAACATGGCACAGCACCAACTCAAACTGATAAATCGAATCTCTAGAGACTTTATCTACAAAGCAAAGGCATTCTCACCCATGTGTGTTGTTTAGAGAATACTATTGTGCATTTTGTGAATTTTATTATTTTGACGTTTTATTTTGAAATTCACGGAAGTGCGCGCTGCTCCCGTGTTTTATTTTGGTACTCAGCTTCCCCTCTCAAAGCCGCGTTGTGTGCTTCAGAGTGAGTTCTGTCTCTGTGGAAAATACATTTTCAATCATTTAGCTTTATTTTTCCGCAATATTCACTAAGATATGTTTAGTAGGAAATGTATAAGTCTGTACTTTTTATTTAGCCAGCTCACCATGTGCTCAAGCGTTGCGTGAAAAATACACACAAGTCTTTTTATTAATCTCATAGTATTCTTTTTTCACATGATTTTGACGCAGATTCAGATTTCTTTATTATGTCGTCTCCCAAATGGGTCGTGGAGCGGGGGGATACAGACGTGACATAAAAAAAAAATACACAGACAATACACGTCATAACATTCATTGACACAAATGCACAAGCAGCTGCTGTTTTTTACCAGCTTTATGGACTGAGGCACAAAAGAGTTCTTAAACCGGTTTTGAGGCACACTAATAAACACCTCAAGGCCCACCAAAGTGCCACGGCCCATAGGTTGAAAAACACTGAAGTACAGAACCTGAGACCGTCTCATTAGCCACTTCAAACCAGCTGCCCGTTACATCCAGGTATTTGTGGAAAGTTCTGTGTGAAACTGTTGGATTCGATAACCTGCCCATTACCAGTGAGTCCTGAGAGACGCCTGAT